AGTAGAGTAAAATCTGAAGGCGAAGATCGCAAGATCAAGACTTGTGTATACACTCTGCTGTTGGATTCGGCTACCACGATAAGCCAGGAGATCAGCACGAGGCACAGCCGCCTCGGCCTGGCGTGTGTGATGTCAGCCAGGCAGGCTCTGCCTAGCAGGCCCCCGGCCAGGTGACCCTTGAGCACCCCTGTAAGTGCTGTGTCTCCAGCCCTGGCCACTCCCTTGCCCCATGAGTGACTTTCAGGTTCCTCACAAGAAGACAGACCGAGAGACGGGTTGTTCTCAGCCCTTCCTCTCTGCTCTGCTCCCCCTCAGGGCAGTGCCACATCCTACCCCCACTTCAGACTCCAGTGTCTTTAAGAATAAAAAGAAAGCACATGTAACTTCTCACAAAAAGTTTGTGCATTTCTGAAGCACACGTTCATTTTAATACCATTTATCTCTGGGAATAAAAAATCACCCCAATCAGCCAAGAGAAACAAAACAGAAACCTTCTGTCTTGGTCCATTTGTGCTGCTATAACAGAATACCTAGACTGAGCGATTTATAGACGATGGAAGTTTGTTTGGCTCATGGTTCTGGAGGCTGGGAGCCCAGAGCACAGTGCTGGCATCTGGCGAGGGCCTTGGTGCTGCCTCATCCAAGAGAGAGAGAGCAAGATGGGGCTGAACTTATTTTTACAACAAACCCACTCCCAAGATAACAACATTAATCCGTTCCTGAGGGCATGACCTAAACACCATGCTAGGCGCCACCTCCCAACACTGTTGCATTGGGGATTAAGTTTCCAGCACAGGAACTGTGGAGGACACATTCAGACCGTAACACCTTCCAGCTCTCAAATCCAACTTATTAGGTTGTCTTAGCTAAGCTACGTGCCACTTCTAGGCTCTTAGGTTCTGGCTGACAGGGTGCTTATGTTGTCTTGGTTAATTTTCAGAGTGAGGCTCAGGCAGATCTGTTATACAGCAGTTTCTGAAGAAAAGTAAATCGATGATGATAGAATGTCTTAGTGAACAACTGAGGGGTAGGAGGAAATTTGTACATGTGGACGAGAGTCTAGTTTAACACGGTCCATGTGGCAAGGGGGCCCCTCTCTGATCCTGCTCATTGAACATGAGAGCTTGGGCAAGGGGACTGCCCTCCGTCCAGCTGGAAGGCGAGGACTGCGTAGCAGACCCAAGAAGCAGCAGAGAGCAGACGTGATCACGCTGTCAGGGCTCCGGGCCCTTCAGTCGTTACCTGAGGTTGTTCAGTGCAGCCATGGAGCGGCACTGCTCTGGAACGCACATCCGTGCCTGCACCAACGCCACTCATCTGACTGGGCGGGGCGCCACAGCCGCCGCATCGGCTCACCGCGCGACTGCGCTTCCCTCTCCAGCTTCTGTTCAGAGGCCTCGTGTCGGTAGCTGGAAATCAGCCGTGAAGGGATCGTTTACACCACGGAAATTGGCAAATGTGACAAATCAGAGGTCTGTTTCTTGCTTTTTAAAGAGGAGGTTGTTGAAAATTTACTAGCTCATTTATGCATCCCATCATCTGTCTCTCCTACCACGGAGCCATGGCTCCACCCAAACATCCGTTTACTCCTTCCGTTAGAATACGATGGATCCATTTGAGAATGACCAGGTCAACCAAGGAAATAGGTGGAGCAGAAACTTACTGACACCTGCAAATGACTCGAGCAGAATCTTACTTGGTTTTTATGATTTTTTTTCCCGTTCCTGTTTCCATCTATTCCATCCAGCTGCCTCATCCGTACCTTAATAGATACAAATTTTTAGTGATTTTCCTTTCTGGCATCTTTCAAAGCACTCTTAGATTTCGTGGACATACTGCCTGTATTTTCACATTCTGTTTCCTCACTGTGAGGCTTATCTAATCAAATAATGCAATTGCAATAAGTCTAGTGGGACAACCAAGTCTGCACGGAGTTCATGTGTCCACTGGAGAGGGTAGGACTCCTGGGGTGGGGGCAGGTGAGAAAGCCCCCCGCTCTGTCCCGGAGTCTCCTGCTCCCTCCTGGCAGCTCTAGAGGATTTTTTAGGTGTGGGAAAACCTCGCTCCCACTGAGCCTCAGGGCTTCCAAGCCCCACAATTTCCTACAGAGCTAGAAACTTAGACTTTAAAACTCTACATTTTAGAATTTAATTAAAAATCAAGCCAGGCGCGGTGGCTCACGCCTGTAATCCTAGCACTCTGGGAGGCCGAGGTGGGCGGATCGCTCGAGGTCAGGAGTTTGAAACCAGCCTGAGCAAGAGCAAGACCCCGTCTCTACTATAAATAGAAAGAAATTAATTGGCCTACTAATATATATAGAAAATTAGCCGGGCATGGTGGCGCATGCCTGTAGTCCCAGCTACTCGGGAGGCTGAGGCAGAAGGATTGCTTGAGCCCAGGAGTTTGAGGTTGCTGTGAGCTAGGCTGACGTCACGGCACTCACTCTAGCCTGGTCAACAAGCGAGACTCTGTCTCAAAAAAAAAAAATCACATCTTAATAAAGAAAAGAAAATTCTTCAAAATTATCCATCTAGAATTGGTATCATGCTTTATCCATATTGCATCTAAAACTACAAATGTGAGCCATGGGGGTGGTTACATTGTACAGTGGGAGTGGTCAGTGGTTACACTGTGACAGGGCCAGATCCTCACTCTGCTCGCCTTCCTCCTCCGTCCCAGGCAGGGCACATAGGTGCAGCTTCCCGGCCTCAGGCACGTTCTTTAGGGGAGCAAGTGTCCAGGGTCTGGGCTTTGCTGGGCCAGTGCCGAGGGCCAGGCCCTCCGTGGCAGAGGCGCCCGTGTTTATTCACTGCATTGAGTAATAGTCTTGTGTCTGTTCTGCAGGGTCCCCCGCCCACACCCGCAGGCTGCCTCGTGAGCACCACATAGGTGTGTGGCTTCTCTGCTCCCAGCCCTCCCCGCGCCTCATCCGCTGGCCTTCCCTTTGCTTCTGAGAAACTCGTCTTCTGCTTAAGTGACCTAGAAGGTATTGTGTTGCTCGTCACTGCGGAACTCCGACACACAGAGCTGTGCCCCGTGGGCCCTGCAGATGAGGGTTCTGGGGACAGCATGCTCACGTCGGCGGGAAGAACAGACAGAGATCTCTGTGGGCTGCTCCATTCCCCACCAGATCTGTGCTTCTCGGGTCAGGAACTGCCACAGGGACGGAGAGGAACCCTCTCCAGCTGGGACTGTCCCCTTCCCGGGAGTGTGGACTGAGCAGGCGTTTGATCCACGTCACACGGGTCTCATCAGGAAGGCAGCTTGCTGCCCGAAGCCGTCTCCCTGAACCCTGGCAGTAGTTCAAAGCGAGAAAGCTGTCGTTCACAGTCCTGTCTCGTAAAGCAGACATTGTTTGTTGTTGAAAAGATGAATACAAGGCTGGGCGGGTGGCTCACACTGTAATCCTAGCACTCTGGGAGGCCGGAGAGGGAGGATTGCTTGAGATCAGGAGTTCGAGACCAGCTTCAGCAAGAGCAAGACCCCCGTCTCCACTAAAAACAGAAAGAGATTAGCTGGGCAACTAAAAATACAAAAAATTAGTCAGGTGTGGTGGGGAGTTCCTATAGTCCCAGCTACTCGGGAGGCTGAGGCCGGAGGATCCCTTGAGCCCAGGAATTGGAGGTTGCTGTGAGCTAGGCTGACGCCATGGCACTCTAGCCCAGGCAATAGAGTGAGACTCTGTCTCAAAACAAAACAAAAAAACCACTTTTATTTGTGCCTTTTGGGGAATAGGCACGCTCGTACTCAGGACATCAGTTGGCCAGAATGTGTCTACACCAAAATGTCCAGCTCCAGCTCCATGGATGGATTGGAAAGTGGGACACAGTGGCCCTGAATTCAGGGCTCTCCTTGGAAAACCCCGAGGTTTCCCTCTGTAGCGAGTCAGGGCACGGCGGCTGTGCCCGGCAGGCCGCCGTGTGGTGGTGCGAGCCACGCTGGACAGACCTTGGCCGAGGCAGACGTTTGCGTTTGTGTTTTGGTGTTTCCCTCCCCTGCTGTAGAGGACAGAGGGAGCGTGCAGGGAGGACCGCGGCATCACAGCACGCGAGTTCTCACCCGTCTTCCACGTGCAAGGCCCCCATGGCTGCAGCCAGGCGCTGCTGTCCACGTCTCCCGCACGGGGTGCTCTGGCCTCGCCCACGCCCGGCCCCTTTTCTACGCGGCAGCCGGCCCCCAGCGCCACCAAAGAATCCTAGAACTTTCTTATTCCTGCGTTGTCACCGGCTAGAGGCAGCCCTAAGAAACAGACATCTGTGTTTCTACTCCTGCAACTTTTATAGGTACTAGTGGAAAGACAGAGCGTATCTGGTTATTTGGTGAAAAGATTAAGACCCGTTGCCTACTAATTTAAAGGAAAGGCTAGTCTAAAATAAAACTTTTCTACATCAGCTGTTTGTTGGCGTAGAAAAACGCAGCCCCTTTCCTGATCATCTCTGATTGCGGATGACCTACAGACACCTCCTGGTTCTCCCACACCCACACGGACGTGGTGGCTCTTTGTTGATTATTTCAGCAAGCGTTCATCACACGCCTCCTGCATGCCACACTCTGGGGCATGAAGACGTGAAGACGTAAGGTGCTTATTTGAGCAAATGTTTGGACCCAATAAAGAAGGACTGAAAGACACTGAGGAGGGTGGAGGGAGGATCCGCTTCACCCTGAAGATGGAAACGCCGTGGCGGGCCCAAGCCCGGCGTCCCCGCACCCGGCTCCTCCCCGGGCCTCCCACGTTCCTCTGACCGGGCCCGGCAGCTCCGTCCGGCTCTGGGGCTCTCCGAGGTCTTTGCCTCCCTCCAGCCCCCGAGACCCTCGGTGTGGGCGCCTCCTGCCACGGAGTCTCCAAGGATCGTGGGCCGTGCGTCAGCCAAGCCGCAGCGCCTCGAGGCAGCGTGGAAGCCCAGGGATAAAGCCAGAAAACCGCCCGTTTCAACGCTTTAAGAAGCTGAAACTCGAACAGTCCTGGGAGCTTTGCGCTCCCTAGATGTTTTTTATGGGTTGCTAAAGTAAATGCCTCCTTCCAAAACGGATGTATTTAGGAAGCTAAATCGTGCACTTTTTAACATGAATGATCTCTTTTGCAGAGCTCAGAAGTGCGCCCAGCCCGCCCGCAGTAAATCCTCCCGCCGCTGAGCGTAATGTAAGCAACGTGGGTCGCCCTCAAACAGTCCCGGTGCGGCGCAGGCAGCGCCATTAGAAGCGCCTCCGCCTTTCTAAACAGAAACAGATGTTCGAGAGCAGAGCTGTGCGGAGGCCATTCTTCAAACGGTAGATTAAAACATCTGTCAGGAGGCCGGCGGGGCGGGCCCCAGCTGGGGCTGCCAGTCACGGCGCTGCCGGGTGTGTGGTGGGCAGGGGCCGAGGCCAGTCCCCACCAGTCCCTGCTTTATCTCCACGTCAGGACTCCGATGGCCGGTCTGCGGCCTGCCCCCTTCCTGGTGCCCCGTGCATGTCCGTGTCCTTCCTCGGTGCGCAGAGGCCCTGGGCGGGGTGCCCGCCTGCCCGCCCCGTCCCTCGAGGATCCCTTCCTCGCCCAGGGCCTCGGCCCGGACACTTGGCTTCTGAAAGACGCAGCTCGTCGTGTGCCGGCTGCCTCAGCCTCACGGGTGACGTGCCGGGCCTCCTAGATGCAGCAATGCACCCCTGCGCGTGGCTCCCCACGAATCCCGGGAGTCTGGAGGCAGAAACACGGGTCAGAAGAGAGCCCTGTGGTGGGTGCTTAGGGTTAAGGCTCCTCCTTTGTGCTTTCTCTTGCCCTTCCGCAAACAGGCCATGAGTAGGAGACGTCCTCCCTGCGCAGGGCAGGGGTGAGCGGGGCGAGGAGGGCTGGTCTGGGGAGAGTTGGGGCCCACGCCCCCCACGGGGACAGGGACAGGCAGGAGAAGATGTGGGGGGCAGGGCGGGGAGGTGAGTTGGTGTGATCACGTGTGGGTGCCTCTGTGCTCCCGGGTGAGGCGTGTGCAATGTGGTGCGTGTTCACTGCCCGCGGCAGGCAGGTGTGCGGTGCTGGGACAGGTGTCCTGGGGCCGGACGGTGCAGGTCCCCGAGGGCGACAGGCAGCGACCAGCAGGCCGAGGTGCCTGCACTTAGTGGTCTCCCGGACACGAGGCAGCCGGGCACCCGGCCCGCCCTGCAGCTGCCCTGGCTAACGCCCCTCACCGCCCCGCCCAGGTCCGCTGGCTCCTTGCGGCACCCGGCACTGCTGTCACCCGGCACTATTGTCACCCGGCACTGCCGTCACCCGGCACTACCGTCACAGTCCCGTCAACACTCTCTTCTCTTGGTGTAACCATAGGGAAACAGAGGCCGCCTCACGTGGCCAATAGCATTTGCTCTGCAGGGAGTCAGCCACCGAGTGGCCGGGCACGCAGGGCCCTGGGGCCCAGGGATGGGCGACTACTGGGGCCAGCTCCTAGGTCACTCTGCGGCCCAGGCCCTTCCAGGTCGCAGCTGTGCTAGGGAGGGCAGGGGGTGGGTCCCTCGGGGCCTGAGCCCCGGTCTGTGCCAAAGCGGCTGGAAGAACCGGGTCCCTGAGGGAGCGGCGGGAGCCGGCACCCCAGTGCTCAGGAGCCGGAGCGGGTTTGGTGGGCAGGGAGCCTCCTTCCTCCCAGCCCGGCGCAGAGGCTGGCCCGGCAGTCAGACCCCCTCTTCCATCCTGCTCTGGCACTTACCAGCTCTGACCCTGGGGGCCAGGGACACGAGCTTCCTGGGCGTCGCTGTCCCCATCTGCAGAGTGGCACGGTGGGAGCAGATTCTGGCTCACAGGGCCGCAGTGGAAAGACCTTAAACACTGTCTGGCACGTGTCGAACACACGCTGAATCAGCAACGCCCACGGGCCCAGCCACACTGACGCCCGTCCCCGCACCGTGGACCCTGCTGTTCCAATCAGCTACTTGCTGAGTAAGGGGACGGGGTGAGGCACGTCCCTCAGCAGGGATGACTGAAATGTGCGTGTTTACTATGCGCAACTTCAGCCAACTTGCACTTTATCTTGGTGTTAACCCAAACAGGAGGCAGACCAAGACAAACACTTGCTGATGTGTTCAACCTGTGACTCAGGCCGTTTCATGAAGGTGCCTGAGCTGAGGAAAGAGAACAAAAGCTTTGTAAAGTTTCCAGGAAAGGATCATGTGTGGGGCAGATGTGGGAGGAGCATGGGCTCCCAAAGCCGGCCCAGGAAGCCCACGCCATGTGTGGGGGTCTGTGGTCGCCCAGGGTCCTGTGGAAGCCCACGCCATGTGTGGGTGTCTGTGGTCACCTGGGGTCCCGTGGAAGCCCATGCATGGGGATCTGTGGTCACCTGGGGTCCCGTGAAAGCCCACACGTGGGTGTCTGTGGTCACCCGGGGTCCTGTGGAAGCCCACACCAGGGGGGCGGGGCTCACCTCACCTCCGGTCCAAGCCAACACCGCACGTGGGTGTCTGTGGTCACCCAGGGTCCCGTGGAAGCCCACACGTGGGTGTCTGTGGTCACCCAGGGTCCTGTGGAAGCCCGCACGTGGGTGTCTGTGGTCACCCGGGGTCCTGTGGAAGCCCACGCCATGTGTGGGTGTCTGTGGTCACCTGGGGTCTCATGGAAGCCCACACGTGGGGGTCTGTGGTCACCTGGGGTCCCGTGAAAGCCCACACGTGGGTGTCTGTGGTCACCTGGGGTCCTGTGGAAGCCCACGCATGGGTGTCTGTGGTCACCTGGGGTCCTGTGGAAGCCCACGCGTGGGTGTCTGTGGTCACCCGAGGTCCTGTGGAAGCCCACACGTGTGGGGGTCTGGTCACCCGGGGTCCTGTGGAAGCCCACGCGTGGGGGTCTGTGGTCACCCGGGGTCCTGTGGAAGCCCACGTGTGGGGGTCTGTGGTCACCCGGGGTCCTGTGGAAGCCCGCACGTGGGGGTCTGTGGTCACCCGGGGTCCTGTGGAAGCCCGCACGTGGGGGTCTGTGGTCACCCGGGGTCCTGTGGAAGCCCACACGTGGTGTCTGGTCACCTGGGGTCCTGTGGAAGCCCACACGTGCTGTCTGGTCACCTGGGGTCCTGTGGAAGCCCACGCATGGTGTCTGGTCACCCGGGGTCCTGTGGAAGCCCACGCATGGTGTCTGGTCACCCGGGGTCCTGTGGAAGCCCACACATGCTGTCTGGTCACCCGGGGTCCTGTGGAAGCCCACGCATGGTGTCTGGTCACCCGGGGTCCTGTGGAAGCCCACGTGTGGGGGTCTGCCATGCTCACTCTGTTACGGGGCGCAGTGAACTCCATCGGTCACCTGAAGCTTGAATGGACGTTCGAGGTTCCAGATTAAGCGGCCGGGAAACAGCCCAGCTCTGAGCACAGCTGCTCCGACGTGAAGCGGCTCGACTCTCCGAGTGTCCCCCCTCCCCTGGACGGACCCTCTGCCGTGAGCCCTGCGTGTTTCCAGACACACACGTGAGGTGCCGGAATCCCAAATCTCTTCTGCTGGCGGTTAGGCCTTTGCCTCTGGAGAAAGGCCGTCCCCTTTGCCGTCGCGACTCAACAAACCGAAAACAGCTGAGATTCCAGGGTGCTCAGAGTCGGGGGAGGGAGGCTTGCGGCCCAGCCCGTGCTGCTGACCTTTAGCAGCCGCCGGCCGGCACGCCCCCGCCACGCGGCCCGCAGCGCGCATCTGGCAGGGTGGGAGCGCCGGCCCCACACCGCCTCGCCCGCTCCTGGAGGGAGGTCGGGCTGGGGAGAGGCCGAGCACCACGGGACTGGAATGCAGAGGGGCTTGTTTCCCCCACTCCCCACGGAGCCCCCGACAGCCAAGCGCGGACAGCGGGACGGGGAGGAGGTGCTCGCTGGGTCTGGGCTGACGCTCTCACTCAGGGACGCAGGGCTGGGCCCTCGAGAGTGCCGGCGGCTCTCCTGGGCCTCACAAGGCGACCGTCTGGAAACTCAAGGTCAGACAGACGGACGTGGAGCCGGCCCGTCCCCGCTGGCGAAAGGCACAGGCGGCTCCCACAAGCGACTCAGATGGGGCGAAGCTCCACCAGGACGTTAATTGTCAGTGTTGGTCTCGCTCGGCCGAGGGCAGGACAGGCCGGCGGACCTCGTGGCTTCCCTGCCGTGGCGGGGCCGTGGCGGGGCCGTGGCGGGCGGGGGGTGGCGATACCGAGCCGGGCAGTCAGAGCTTTCAGAGAAGACCGCGCTGCCGGGCCGTGGGCTGCTCAGCGCACCAGCGACGGGACAGCTGAGGTTCCACGAGACGGAGTGTTGGCCTCAGACCCGCTCCCCCTGGGCAGCCATTCGCAAACCGCCCTCGAGCGCGTCCTGCCCCTGCGCCCGCAGCCCACGGTTCTGCTGTGGCGCCGCCCGTGAGCCGCGGCACGAGGCCCATGCGGAGAGCACAGACATGTCACTGCAGGTGGCCTGAGACGCGTTTGCCGAGTCAGACAACCTCACAGACCCGACGTCCGTTCCCTCCCTCCACGCTGGAGTCCCGCGGCGCACAGCGCAGCACGCAGCACTTCCGGAATAAAATGCCGGCGCTGACGCCAGCGATGTGATTACTGAAAAGGGCTTTCTTCCACCTCCTTTTACCTCAGGCACGTGCCACTCGGGGTCACTGTGCTCAGAGCCACGCGAGACAGACGGCAGCGCCGCGTGGTCACGTGCGGGTCACAGCCTGGGGGAACCTGGCATCACTGCGGAGCTGGGAACACGCCACGGCAGCCCCTCCCGGTGTGCTGGGGAGGTCAGGACACGCGTGTCGGTGGCCAGACAGCTGTGGCCAGGCCTTTGTCTGCCCCCGAGAAAACCCAGCAAGAGCCGACGGCCGTGGCTCACACGTGGCCCATCCGCAGCTGTGTCGGGAGTGGGGATCTGCCCGGGGACGTGGAAGCACTTCCTCACGCAGGGAAAACACAGTGCTATAAAAATTATGGGATGATGTGACTCTGTCTCTTAAACAGTGACACGAACACCCACACGGGTGCAGGTGTGGTGCATGTGACTTACTGGGACACGGAAGGGTCTGGAAGGACGTGTGCTTTGGGGCTCAGATGGGTGACTGGGACGGGGAGGCGGCAGGAGTCAGCTGCCGGCAGCTGTTTGAAAAAAGACTGGCCGTGACAAGAACTTCACACGCGCCACCCTTCCGCTCAGGTAGAGCTTTGCGTGTGTGTGCGTGTATGGGGGCACAGGATGATGGCCACCGCCAGCTCTGCGTGTGCCCTTTCACCTTTACAAGCCAGGGTGCGGCTGTGCTGTGGCCGCTCGGCCAGCAGGGCCGTCGGGGGGCTGAACAGAACCGCGCACATGAGCTGCCGGGTCCTTCACGAGCGTGCCCACCTGGAGGCTGGTCGGGACGGGTCCTGCCACGGCGGGCATCGGCGGCAGCAGCAGGCTCCCCGGCTCAGACACGCGTGTGAAGCAGTAACACTCGGAAGGGTCTGTGTTGTCCTCGTCCCTTGAGCCCGCGGTGATGCGACCAGAGCCGGCCTCCCCTGCCGGCACGGAGTGCCTCCACCGTGTTCAGTGCTCGGTGGCTGTCTTCAACACTCACATCCGTGATCTAGGGAAAATGGGATTCTGCAAGTTCAGAGCCCTGGGAAAAACCGAAGGAAACAGCAGCAGCTTCTCGGCGACGGTGAGGACGGCCGTGATTCGCGGTTCCCCAGCTCGCCCCAAATGCAGCCCAGGGAACATCTCCACTGAGGGGCAGATTTCTCCAGGGCCGGGAAGAGAGGAAACCTCTCGGCGCTCTGCCCCTTCCTAAACTGGGCGGGCCCTGCGCTGGGAGGGTGGGGGCGCCGTGCGCAGGGGAGACGGCCCCAGGGCTCTGCTGTCACTCAGCTGCTCTCGAGCAACGTGGAACAAACTGTCCTGTGAGCCGTGCTCGGCTCTGGGGCTGCACTCACGCCGGGCGGACAGGACGCGCCCCCAGGGCTCAGGAAAGCAGAGCGTGCTCTTCCAGACTCCAGATCAGGACAGGCCGTGGTCGAGATCGCTGGTGACAACATCAGGGTAGCCCTGATGAAAGATGAAAGGTCTTCGACAATATTTTCTTTAAAAAGAAAAAAAAAGATAAAAGGAAAAGAGGCAAAAATCATCACAGAGCAAGAAATAGAGCCATGCATGTGTGTGCAGGTGTGCATATGTGTGCATGCATGTGCACATACACATGCCTATGTGTATGTGCACGAACGTGTGGACATGCATGTATGCATATGTGGACATACATGCGTTCCTATGTGTCATGTGTGTGTCTGTAAACACATGTGTCATGTGTCATGCCTGTGTGTATGTGCATGCACGTGTGGACATGCATGCATGCATGTGTGGACATGCATGTGTGGACGTGCATGCGTGCCTGTGTGCCTGTGCATGTGTGTGCCTGTAAACGTGTCTGTGTGCATATGTGCATGCACGTGTGGACATACATGCATTCCTATGTGTCATGTGTGTGCCTGTAAACATGCCTGTGTGTATGTGCATGTACATGTGGACATACATGCATGCATGTGTGGACATGCATGTGTGGACATGCATGCATGCCTGTGTGCCTGTGCATGTGTGTACCTGTAAACGTGTCTGTGTGCATATGCTTGTATGTGTTCCTGAGAGGGGACTCTGTCCAACCGTCTCTTACCCGGGCTGACTGGGGTTGTCCTGGCTCACGGGCCAGGGCGTGGCAAGGGCTGTCGCTGGCTGCAGTGTTTCACGTTCCCCCACCGGCTACCCCACCACATGCTGGAACAGATAAAATCCAGAGCTTGTGTTGCCAATCTATGCTCAGTTTTAGGTTGGTATTATGAATGCAGTGCTTAAATTAAAGCCTATATTATCAGAAATTACAGACAAGTGACGCAAATTCTTGGGTCTGTGAGGTGGGGCCTACCTGGCCAGGCTGCCTGAAAGATCCCGGAACAATCCTGACCTTGAGGGCAGGACGTGGCTGGCAGTGGCAGTGACAGCCCAGACACTGCGCACACGATCATGAACATGCGACTGCCCGGAGCTGAGGCGGGTGCCACGGACGGAGGTCCCATGCAGGCCGTGTGGAGGGAGAGAGGAGAGATGGGCATCTCGGTGACACTCAGCCGCTCTGGTAGCCCAGGGCCCCAGCGAGTCCCAGCCAGGTTAGGTGGGAGAAGCCAGGCTGGAATCTGGGGGTGATGCTCACCCCGACACGTGAAGGGAGAGTGTAGTTAACAGCAGAGGAATATCGAGGTTCTAGACATACTTGGGGTGTGTAGCAGGGAAGCCACACGGCAGTCAGTGACGGTGTGTGTGTGCACACGTGCACTGGGACACACAGATCTATGTTCTGTAAGTAAATATCTCACGCGAGCGAAGAGGCTGGCCAGGCGTGGCAAGAGCCACTCCCGTGTCTGCTGCTTCTGTGGAGTGCATATCACAGCACGGCTGCTCCACATGTACGTGTACACACATGCAGTGCGTGTGTGTCCGGGGAATACATGTTCGGTGACAGTCTGGAATGGCATGCTGCCAAAATGCGAATCGTTTTCTCAGCCCCTGCTCTCTTGTGGACTCCACCCTTGGACTGGCACAGACGGGCCCTGGGACAGGCCCACTGACTCGATTTCCCTTTCTCACAGCGTTGCCTGGCCTTGTCCTGCCGAGCGCGGGCATTTGCGAACGAGCTCCTGTGCCCACCCGTGGTTTAGCTCCAGGCGCTGCCCCAGCAGCTCCTGGGATGGAGGGCAAAGCCGGGACTTGCTGCTGTGAACTGAATTGCTTCATTTCCTGGTTAAGAAGAGGAAGGACTTGGTATTTTTTTTGTAAGTTTGGCTTTGGTGATTAAACACTGAACATGAGCTAAACTTCTGTATTGTTACTGTTGGAATTTCCCAGTTCCCAGGATGACAGCAGTGCCAGCTAAGTGCTTGAAAAGTCATTGACTTTTTAGTTTTTAAATAATATTCAGGAAAGGAACTATTTTGACATAAATTCAAGCTAGAATGTCACAATATGTGGACAAACCCGAAACTAGATCCCTCTTGAAATTACGTAACCTGGCAGGGATCAAGTGAGACTTTCATTTCCCTGCCGGTGTCTCTGTCCCAGCATTTACCGTGCGTGTTGGTAGCTGCCACCAGAAGCTTCCATCCTGCTCTACACAAGCCCGTATGTGCAGATGAACGTGGAAAAAGCACCAAGATCTTAGATGCTCCACCACAGAAACCATGAAAGCGAGGGCTACACGCAGAGTTTGCTACGAGCTGCTCATACCTTTGAATCAAGGAACTTTTGCATGATTTATTGGATGGCAGCTCTGCCCGTATTTTAAGAAGGAACATGCCAGATCTGTCAAGCCTGGTTGCAAAGGAAATCATTCAGTGCTGCACGTAGCACTTTGCACGTGAGTGGACACGGCATGGCTGTGGCCTGTGATGGTCTCAGGATCCAAGCAATCGCAGGCAGAAGCTGTGCATGTCTTGGTAGGTCACAGATAAACGTGTGTGTGTGTCGGGGGCTCATGTTAAGGGCGGGAGTCCAGCTGCTCTTGGTCATGTGAGCACTAATCATTTCTGTGGATTTAATGAACATGCATTCAGAGCATGCATGTGCACAGAGACATGCTCTGTTTGCACACGCACATGCACACACACACACACATGCACGTTAGAAATTCAGTTGCTTGGACGTGACCTCGTTATTTACGATTGTCCCAGGCAGGGGAAGAGCTGGGTGGGAAAGCTGGAGTGTGTGGCCTCCTCTCCTGACCTGGGCAGGCTCTCCGATAAGGCTTCCAATTTCATGGGTCATGAGTCTCTCGCCAGGACTTTCCATGCAATGTCAAATTTATAGCCCTGTGAAGATCCCTCTCCTGGGAACTTGCAAAGAGAAGAGGAACAATAACCCGTTCACGCCTGGAAAGCACCTGGAAACCAGGGTGCCGCCAGGTATCCGCAGCTCCGACAACAGCTGTGTGCTGAGTGGTTTCTTGAATGGGCTCCGCCATCCCCGGGGTCAGGGCCTGTGCAGTCAGCACTTCCTGCTGAATTGAGCAGCCCGTGGAAAGCCCGGGGCGAGGGCGCTGAGGCTGCTGTTTGCCAGCGGACGGCAGTTCACAGTGAATTCCGCAGCGCAGGGGTGGGGCAGCGGCAGTCGTCATCTCAGCTGCTGTGCAAACCGCCTTCGGAGAGCTGCATTCGAACCCCAAACCTGCTGCTTTCTGGCTGCGTAGTCTTGGTCCAGCTGCGACAAAATGAGGCTTATACGGTTTCTCTCTGAGGGCTGGTGTGAGAACTGAGTTGGGAAATCGATTCGAAGTGCTCAGCAGAGCACCTGGCGAGTTGTAAGCACAGCAGGAGGAAGCGGCATTCGCCGGGTCCCAGAGCTGACCCCACTGTGGGGCCGGGGTCCCGCAGGGCTCTGTGGGTCCTCGGTCCTCTCGGCGGGGCGAGGGCTGCTCGCCGCACCACTGCCGGGCCACGGCGCCGCTCGGAGTGCGTCCAGGCACGGTCTCGGGAGAGCCCCACGAGCAGGGGGCGCGCAGTACCAGTGTGCAGGAGGGGAGACTGAGGCTTGAGAGCTCACACAGGTCACTCTCGGGAGGTGGCAGTGGCGGGTCTCGGGGGGATGGATGGAGCCCAGAAAAGGAGCCTCCTGGACACAGGACCTGCTCTGGACACAGCCATGGCCAGGCCCCCCGCCCAGCCCTGACCACATGGACCCCGCGTGGATAGTGAGGACGCCGCCCGCAGGGGAGTGTGCACAAGGCTGGGAGAAAGGCTCGGGTCAGGGCCCAGGAAGTTTATTTTGTAGCTAATTTTTATGTTTGTTTAATGTGTCGCCCGGGGTCACTGATCAAGCTGCTCTTGTGCCGTCCTCCTTCTCAGCAGCGCCGAGCCTGGGAGCAGCGTGAGGCGCTTCCAGAGACTCGCGGACAGGAAATGCCGCGGACAGGAGGCGAGCGCAGGACGTGGCCGGCGGCTCCCAGGACACGGGCATTCACCCACAGCGCGCTCAGGAGGCCCGGAAATTAGTCTCATCCCGGAAGGTTCTTCTCCCCCAGAGTGAGGTCCCTGCCCCCTCTCTGTGGCCGGGATTTGATCCAGGTGGGTTAACACGGGGGGAGGGAGTCGTTTATCCCACAACGAGGCCCTCGGTTGTTCTCTTAATGGAGAAAGCCAGTTTCAGTTTTAAGGAAACTCGTGCGCACTTCAGTGTGGCATTTTAGTTTCTCTGAAAATGTAAACATTTATTTTGAAATGTTTTTAAGAGAGAGCCAGTGGTTTTGCTGTTGTTTCCCATCATTTCTGTGCACAGACGGCTGCGGGACACTCTGACGGGGCGGAGGGCCCAGTGTGCTCCGAGACCGCGAGCTCGGGTGGCTCCCTCACCTGTGCGTGGCCACCTGCCTCGCCCACACCTGGCTCAGCAGCTTTGTTTAATCCACTCACTTTTAGAAGATCGCCCCAGAATGTTCATATTAGCTCTCATGTAGCAATGTCTTACATAAGTTGTTAATTCAGAAAGCATTTGAGGTATTTGAAGCAGAAGTATTTGAAAAATGGCCTTTTTCCTTTTGCATCTACTGTGCTCCAGGGGTTGAATTCAGCAGAGGTCGGCGTGGCCCTCCCTGGCCTGGGGAGCTCACTTTCCTTAGAAGTTCCTTAGAAGCGGAGTGTGGGCTCCGAACAGAATCGATCTTGCCGTCTCGTTGTCAGGTCCTGCTGAGGTCAAACAGGGCTCCCGGCCCCCGAGTTTGCAGGTGGCCAGGGCCCTGCAAGGCGACCTCGGCCTCCTGCTGTGGGCCGCGTCCTGTCTCGGCTCAGGCTGCCTGGCGACACCGTGAGGCCCTCCAGAGAGGAGGGACCTGGCGCCGCTCAGCGCATCCTTTCTGCTCGCAGAGCCCTGACTCTCGTTGGCAGTATTTCTCGGGGACTGAAGGGTGTGCAGGAGAATGAACCGCTGCAGCAGGAGGTGAGGTGCAGCTGAGGAACTGCGCCGTGGCCCTGACGCCAGCTCCAGGGGGGGCAGACGCGCAGCCCGTGAGGCGAGCTCCACATGGGCACAGCTGTGCACATCTGGCTGGTTTTCAATGGCTAAGTGTCAGCAGCACCACAAACCTAGAGGCTTAAAAAGTGCACAGTTACTGTCTCATCGGGCCTGTGGGTCTGGGACCTGGCGCAGCCCGCCGGGCGTCTGCAGGCCGTGCAGGCCGTGGTCCAGGGCGGCCTCGCCCCGCACCTCCCCTGGGGATGGTCCTGGTCTTAAGCTCAGGCGCCAGCGCTGGGTCCGAGAAGCCACTGCACAGAGCGTGGGAGGCTTCACTGCTGTTGTCCAGATACTGCCCTCGGCTCCTTGCCATGGGCTCCCGCCGCGCCTGCTTCACGGAAACCACCCGGGAAGGGGAAGTTGTAGCAAGACAGATGCTGCAGTTTTACACAATGCCGTCACCAAAGTGGCGTCCACCCCTTGGCCATGGTCTGTGGGGCGGGTCCTAGGAGCCGGGGACCCCAAGATGGGCTCAGCACCCTGGTAACAAGAGAGCCCACAGGGCCACGTGGGGCCACACCAGGAGGCATCTATAAGCCTGGAAGGCCCTAGCATGGCCCACCGAGCCGGCAGGATTCGGACTCCCAGCTTCCAGATGGTGAGGAGCTCGTGCCTGCCGAGAGCACGCCGTGGGCCTGCGGCCGCCGGGACACGGCCCACTCTGCAGCCAGAATGCACCAGGTCAACTGACGCTTCTGCGAGGGCGTGCTCGCCTGCAGCCAGCCCTCCCTGCACTGTTTCCCTGCTCAGGGAACGGGTTGGACCACGCTGCCCCATGCCCGCCTGCTCCCTGCCCACGGCGGTGACTGTACCTGGCGACAGCAGGAAAGATCCCTAGTGGAGGCAGGGCGAGGGCCCCTCTCGCTGCCGCAGGGACAGTGACAGGCCCAGCACGGAGCAGGGCGCGGCCGCGTTGCCTCCAGCCCCCTCTGGTGTCAGCTTCGCCCTGCACGAGAGTCTGACGGTCCTGACGAGTCTGTCTTGGCTGTCGTGCATGTGCAGCTGCTGGTGTTCACAGTCACGGCCGGTCCCTTTCGTGGGACGCCATGGCCTCAAACACGTGGCGTCCCGGTGACACGCGGGCGTGACAACACCCTCCCGTGCCGGGCAAAACGCACGTCCTGGCCAGGGGGAAGCCGGCTTTGTGCCGCCCTCGGCGACCTCCTGCGCAGAGAGGACTGAGCTGCAACGCCGCTGTGCGAACGACTGATTCGGAGACGTGGTTGTGCAGCGACATCTCCGAGACCTGCTCGCGCTGCGCAGGCGGGCGCGGCGTCCGCAGGCCCTTTCCCGCCGAGTGGCCGTGTTCCCGGGACACGCGGGCGTGGCGCGCACACGGGAGGCGTCTCTTCAGCTTTGGTGACGGCCCGTGGACACGGCCAGCTCGGCGTCTCGGTTTCCCCCCCTGCCCCTCTTCCGCGCGCGGGCGGTGTTTCCGGGGATGGAGGCAAGGCCCGCAGCCGCGCAGGAGGCCTGGCCCCAGCGGACCGCGCCCGGGGAGGAGGACGGGCGCCAGGATCTGCGGCTCCATTCCCCCTGCAAACGCAGGCCCCGCCCCGCACCCCGGGGAGGGCGGGGACTCGGGACGCTCCGCCCGACACGCACATGCGCAGGAGGGAGCTTCCAGAACGACCAGGCGGCTCTGGCGGAGGCTACAGCTACCCAGGGGTCTCCTCCTGCGCCCTGGGCCCCCAGGGCAGCCCCTGGGAGTCGGGCGGCGGCGTCGGGTCCCTCACACCGTGGCGCACGCCCCAGGCCGGCTGCGCAGGTCCCGGGAGGAGGGGGTGAGTTGGAAACGTCAGGTTTGAGCTGTGAACGCCGCTCAGAGGTTTGTCCCTTGCATTCGATTTGTATCTTTCCTGGAGTCGCGCAAGCCGTCGGGGAGGGCGCATGGCGCTCCGCGGGCCGGACGGGCCTGCGACCCCCACCCGGGACGCGGGAGGGAAGGGCGACAGGGACGAGCGGATTGAGGCCTTCTGCAGGCGCCAGGCGGGCCGCGGCCTCTCCAAGTCCGGGCTGGCCACGCTCGCGGGAGGGCGACGGGCCCGACGACGCACGCGGACGCCCCTCCTCCGGGGCAGCCAGGACGCCAGCCTTCGTGACTCGCGTTTGAGTTTTGTCCCGTTTGTTCGGAATCCCACGGCACCCGGCTCCGTTGTCTGTTGAAAACGTCTGCTGAGAAGTTGGAAGACGCCCGGCATCGACAGGCCGCGGGATCCAGACGCGGACGGGGACAGCCCAACGCCGCCGGGCCACACCCGGGGCACCGCGCAGGGCTCTGTGCAGGCGGCGTCTCCCCTGCAGGGTCTCCATTCTTTCTCCACCCCGCATAGATGGGGACACTGAGGCCGGAGCTAAGCAGCTCTCCTGGGTCACCTGGCCGTTGGGTGGCAAAGCTGGGCTGGGGCCGGGCTGGGCTGGCCCTTCCGGCCCCTTCTCCTGGTGCTCAGGGGCCTGCCCGTTCCTGCCCCCCGTGCTGGTGAGCCCCGGCCCTGCCACTGTCAGGAGAAGCCCCTCGGAGGGCCTGTGTCTGGCTGTGCAGGGCTGCGGCCCTGGAGGGGACGGGGCCAGGAGGGGTAGAGCTACCCTTAGTTTTATTTAGTTTACTTTTGGAGTCCTGGCTAACCGTTTCTGGCCCACCCACAGCCCCCCGCCCCCACACCGCAGTCACTGTGGATGGCCAGTGACCCGGCAGCCTTGTCCCGGGAATCAGATGGCTGCGATTCCGAACCTCAGCAGCCCCATCCGACTCCACCTGGCTGGGAGCAAACCCCAGTGACGCCGGGTCCCGCGGCCATGGTCATGCCCCACGGGAGGCGGGAGCGACGGCCTGGGCCGCCCTGGAGGAGCCCCACAGACTGAGTGCACGGCGGGCAGGAGTTGTTCTTGCCTGGCTCTGGGGCCAGGAGTCCCCGTGCCGCGGGCAGGGCGGGGCCCCCGGGTAGGCATCGGGAGGGGCTGTGCCTGCTTCTCCCCAGCGACCGAGAACGTCTGCTACTCCTCGGCGTGTAGACAATACCCCAGTGTCTACCCCAGTGTCTGCCCCGTCGTCACGCGTGTTCTCCGTGTTTGCACAAATTTCCCTCTTCTTCCGAGGAACCAGACCTTGGATCAGGGACCCCTGATAACAGCATCTTGACTTGGCCGTATCTGCAAAGACTCTCTGTCCAAAAAAGCTGGCGTCCTGAGGCTCTGGGGACACGAGTGCGGGGGACACAGGTGCCACGTCACGCCGGCTCTGCGGCAGCTGTCATTCCTGAGGTCTCTGCAAGCCCTGGTCGCCATTTCTAGGGTAGGAAACTGAGGCAGCGCAGTAGGTTAGCGTCGCACAGCGGGGGCTGATTTGACCCGTGGCTCACTGGGGAGGTCACAGAACCTTCTGGTCGGAGGACTCTGAGCTGAGCCCCTGAGCCTGGGACACAGAAGCCCACGTGCCTCGTGTCCAGGTATTTGAAGGTTACAAATCAGACCGAAACGCGGTTGAGCAGAATGTGCTGCAGGCTCCTTCCTGGGCAGACGTGCCGGGCAGGACTGGCGTCCGGGCACACGGAGGCGCAGGCCCTGGAGCCCTGTGTGGAGACAGGACGGGGTCTGCCCCCTGACATGGACCCAGCCGCAGCCAGTCCAGGCTCCCTGGGCCCTGCCCATCCCCCACAGGGGCTCTAGGGTCCCTGTACGCAGAGCTGGGCCCACAGCGCCGGTCGCTCCGTGTGGACACGGCCCCCAGGCGCCCCGTGGGACAGGCTGCCTCCCTGCCCCGTCTGCCCCCAGCTCCTAGAAGGGCCCCCTCGCTGCTCCCAGCTGTGTCCCTTCCCCTCGAAGTCTCATCTTTCTGGGCCCCCCGGAGCAAGGCGAGGCCCTGAGGGGCAGAGAGTAGGGCTTTAATGAGTTTTGGCTGCGGCCTCTCCCCCTGGCGTCCCCGGCCGGTTCCCCATTGTTCTGCAGAAGCAAGTCGGCCTCTGGAAACAGCACAGGCTTCCTCTTTCCCGAGTCTGCTGTGATCTCCGGAAGCGAGGCTTTTCCGAGGAAGCCCCGGTTCCTGCCCCACCCATGACTGACCCTCCAGGAGGCCCGAGATGAGCATCTGGGCACCGGCCCCCTGCCCTCCTCTTCCGACCGCCGGCCTGCCTTCTCTCAGACACCGAGCGCGTTCACGCTCCGTCTCTGCCTGATCTTCGAGCACAGGCGTGCCGGCGCTCACTCCCGACTGGACGGGGCTTGGGCGGAGCCGGCGGGTCATTCCTTGCACTTCGGGGCTGCAGCTAAGCCGCCAGGGAGCCGTGGCCGGGGTGTCCTGGCCTTGGGGGCTGCTCAGGCCCCTGGGGGCCCAGGAGCTGGTGGGCGGTCACGGGTGGTTAGCAGAGGGTGAGGAGCGGGCGGCAGCCAGATGGGCACATGCCCGTGCAGACATGAGGAACCCGTGCTACGCAGGACAGCCCTGGCTGGCGAGGCCGTCCTGCCGCTCGGCGGGCGGCTCCCAGGGTGCAGACCCTGTCACTCAGACGCGCTGTGGTCACAGACGCAGGGACCCGCGCCACGGGCAGCAGCGGTGCTGAAAACACCTGTCTGCAGAGGAGGAGAGAGCGTCTGCCCAGGGCACGCCGTGGCCCGACGGCTGCCTCAGGCCAGGGCAGGGGCAGAGACAGCAGAAGGAAGACCAGGGATCCACCCTGGGAAATAGGCCCGTCTGACACTGCCTCGCCCTCTCAGCTCTGGAGTCCGGGGCTCGGGTTGGGCGTGGGGGTCCGCACTGCCTGGAGGGCTAGCCGGGGCTGCCCGGCTCCCGGCGGTTCCCTGGCTGGGGCGGCATCAGTCCACCCTCACACGGCCCTTCTCCCTGCGCGTCTGTCCCAGTTTCTCCTCCCCGGACGCCGTCACAGGGGCCTGGGAGCCCACCCTGCACCTCGGCCTCATCACAACTAGCTCCTCCGCAACCACCCTGTTTCCAGGCGGGGCCGTGTGCTGAGGTGCTGGGGGCTCGGCTCTCACATCTGGGTTTGGGGAGACACAGCCCGACCCCAGCACCAGGGGACAGAGCTGGCACCACCAGGCTGTGTCTGGCGGTGGCTCCAGGCCAGTCTGCCACCACCCGAGGGGCCACCCTGCTCTGTGGGGCCGCGTGCTGCTGCCGGGGTCTGTCCACACAGCTCCGTCTGTCTCAGGGGAGGCGGCAGATCCCCGGCACCCTGGTAACAAGAGAGCCCACAGGGCCACGTGGGGCCACACCAGGAGGCAGGCCCTAGCATGGCCCACCGAGCCGGCAGGATTCGGACTCCCAGCTTCCAGATGGTGAGGAGCACGTGCCTGCCGAGAGCACGTCGTGGGCCTGCGGCAGCCGGACACGGCCCACTCTGCAGCCAGAATGCACCAGGTCAACTGACGCTGCCGCGAGGGCGTGCTCGCCTGCTCCCTGCCCACGGCGGTGACTGTACCTGGCGGCAGCAGGAAAGATCCCTAGTGGAGGCAGGGCGAGGGCCCCTCTCGCTGCCGCAGGGACAGTGACAGGCCCAGCGCGGAGCAGGGCGCGGCCGCGTTGCCTCCAGCCCCCTCTGGTGTCAGCTTCGCCCTGCACGAGAGTCTGACGGTCCTGACGTGTCTGTCTTGGCTGTCGTGCATGTGCAGCTGCTGGTGTTCACAGTCACGGCCGGTCCCTTTCGTGGGACGCCCTGGCCTCAAACACGCGGCGTCCTGGTGACACGCGGGCGTGACAACACCCTCCCGTGCCGGGCAAAACGCACGTCCTGGCCAGGGGGAAGCCGGCTTTGTGCCGCCCTCGGCGACCTCCTGCGCAGCGAGGACGGAGCTGCGACGCCAACGACTGATTCGGAGACGTGGTTGTGCAGCGACAGCCTCCGAGACCTGCTCGCGCTGCGCAGGCGGGCGCGGCGTCCGCAGGCCCTTTCCCGCGGAGTGGCCGTGTTCCCGGGACACGCGGGCGTGGCGCGCACACGGGAGGCGTCTCTTCAGCTTTGGTGACGGCCCGTGGACACGGCCAGCGCGGCGTCTCGGTTCCCCCCCTGCCCCTCTTCCGCGCGCGGGCGGTGTTTCCGGGGATGGAGGCAACGCCCGCAGCCGCGCGGGAGGCCTGGCCCCAGCGGACCGCGCCCGGGGAGGAGGACGGGCGCCAGGATCTGCGGCTCCATTCCCCCTGCAAACGCAGGCCCCGCCCCGCACCCCGGGGAGGGCGGGGACTCGGGACGCTCCGCCCGACACGCACATGCGCAGGAGGGAGCGCAGGGCGGAGCTTCCAGAACGACCAGGCGGCTCTGGCGGAGGCAACAGCTACCCAGGGGTCTCCTCCTGCGCCCTGGGCCCCCAGGGCAGCCCCTGGGAGTCGGGCGGCGGCGTCGGGTCCCTCACACCGTGGCGCACGCCCCAGGCCGGCTGCGCAGGTCCCGGGAGGAGGGGGTGAGTTGGAAACGTCAGGTTTGAGCTGTGAACGCCGCTCAGAGGTTTGTCCCTTGCATTCGATTTGTATCTTTCCTGGAGTCGCGCAAGCCGTCGGGGAGGGCGCATGGCGCTCCGCGGGCCGGACGGGCCTGCGACCCCCACCCGGGACGCGGGAGGGAAGGGCGACAGGGACGAGCGGATTGAGGCCTTCTGCAGGCGCCAGGCGGGCCGCGACCTCTCAAAGTCCGGGCTGGCCACGCTCGCGGGAGGGCGACGGGCCCGACGACGCACGCGGACGCCCCTCCTCCGGGGCAGCCAGGACGCCAGCCTTCGTGACTCGCGTTTGAGTTTTGTCCCGTTTGTTCGGAATCCCACGGCACCCGGCTCCGTTGTCTGTTGAAAACGTCTGCTGAGAAGTTGGAAGACGCCCGGCATCGACAGGCGCCGCAGGCCGCGGGATCCAGACGCGGACGGGGACAGCCCAACGCCGCCGGGCCACACCCGGGGCACCGCGCCGGGCTCTGTGCAGGCGGCGTCTCCCCTGCAGGGTCTCCATTCTTTCTCCACCCCGCATAGATGGGGACACTGAGGCCGGAGCTAAGCAGCTCTCCTGGGTCACCTGGCCGTTGGGTGGCAAAGCTGGGCTGGGGCCGGGCTGGGCTGGCCCTTCCGGCCCCTTCTCCTGGTGCTCAGGGGCCTGCCCGTTCCTGCCCCCCGTGCTGGTGAGCCCCGGCCCTGCCACTGTCGGGAGAAGCCCCTCGGAGGGCCTGTGTCTGGCTGTGCAGGGCTGCGGCCCTGGAGGGGACGGGGCCAGGAGGGGTAGAGCTACCCTTAGTTTTATTTAGTTTACTTTTGGCGTCCTGGCTAACCGTTTCTGGCCCACCCACAGCCCCCCGCCCCCACACCGCAGTCACTGTGGATGGCCAGTGACCCGGCAGCCTTGTCCCAGGAATCAGATGGCTGCGATTCCAAACCTCAGCAGCCCCATCCGACTCCACCTGGCTGGGGAGCAAACCCCAGTGACGCCGGGTCCCGCGGCCATGGTCATGCCCCACGGGAGGCGGGAGCGACGGCCTGGGCCGCCCTGGAGGAGCCCCACAGACTGAGTGCGCGGCGGGCAGGAGTTGTTCTTGCCCGGCTCTGGGGCCAGGAGTCCCCGCGCCGCGGGCAGGGCGGGGCCCCCGGGGAGGCATCGGGAGGGGCTGTGCCTGCTTCTCCCCAGCGACCGAGAACGTCTGCTACTCCTCGGCGTGTAGACAATACCCCAGTGTCTACCCCAGTGTCTGCCCCGTCGTCACGCGTGTTCTCCGTGTTTGCACAAATTTCCCTCTTCTTCCGAGGAACCAGACCTTGGATCAGGGACCCCTGATAGCAGCATCTTGACTTGGCCGTATCTGCAAAGACTCTCTGTCCAAAAAAGCTGGCGTCCTGAGGCTCTGGGGACACGAGTGCGGGGGACACAGGTGCCACACCACGCCGGCTCTGCGGCAGCTGTTATTCCTGAGGTCTCTGCAAGCCCTGGTCGCCATTTCTAGGGTAGGAAACTGAGGCAGCGCAGTAGGTTAGCGTCGCACAGCGGGGGCTGATTTGACCCGTGGCTCACTGGGGAGGTCACAGAACCTTCTGGTCGGAGGACTCTGAGCTGAGCCCCTGAGCCTGGGACACAGAAGCCCACGTGCCTCGTGTCCAGGTATTTGAAGGTTACAAATCAGACCGAAACACGGTTGAGCAGAATGTGCTGCAGGCTCCTTCCTGGGCAGACGTGCCGGGCAGGACTGGCGTCCGGGCACACGGAGGCGCAGGCCCTGGAGCCCTGTGTGGAGACAGGACGGGGTCTGCCCCCTGACATGGACCCAGCCGCAGCCAGTCCAGGCTCCCTGGGCCCTGCCCATCCCCCACAGGGGCTCTAGGGTCCCTGTACGCAGAGCTGGGCCCACAGCGCCGGTCGCTCCGTGTGGACACGGCCCCCAGGCGCCCCGTGGGACAGGCTGCCTCCCTGCCCCGTCTGCCCCCAGCTCCTAGAAGGGCCCCCTCGCTGCTCCCAGCTGTGTCCCTTCCCCTCGAAGTCTCATCTTTCTGGGCCCCCCGGAGCAAGGCGAGGCCCTGAGGGGCAGAGAGTAGGGCTTTAATGAGTTTTGGCTGCGGCCTCTCCCCCTGGCGTCCCCGGCCGGTTCCCCATTGTTCTGCAGAAGCAAGTCGGCCTCTGGAAACAGCACAGGCTTCCTCTTTCCCGAGTCTGCTGTGATCTCCGGAAGCGAGGCTTTTCCGAGGAAGCCCCGGTTCCTGCCCCACCCATGACTGACCCTCCAGGAGGCCCGAGATGAGCATCTGGGCACCGGCCCCCTGCCCTCCTCTTCCGACCGCCGGCCTGCCTTCTCTCAGACACCGAGCGCGTTCACGCTCCGTCTCTGCCTGATCTTCGAGCACAGGCGTGCCGGCGCTCACTCCCGACTGGACGGGGCTTGGGCGGAGCCGGCGGGTCATTCCTTGCACTTCGGGGCTGCAGCCAAGCCGCCAGGGAGCCGTGGCCGGGGTGTCCTGGCCTTGGGGGCTGCTCAGGCCCCTGGGGGCCCAGGAGCTGGTGGGCGGCCACGGGTGGTTAGCAGAGGGTGAGGAGCGGGCGGCAGCCAGACGGGCACATGCCCGTGCAGACATGAGGAACCCGCGCTACGCAGGACAGCCCTGGCTGGCGAGGCCGTCCTGCCGCTCGGCAGGCGGCTCCCAGGGCGGGGACCCTGTCACTCAGACGCGCTGTGGTCACAGATGCAGGGACCCGCGCCACGGGCAGCAGCGGTGCCGAAAACACCTGTCTGCGGAGGAGGAGAGAGCGTCTGCCCAGGGCACGCCGTGGCCCGACGGCTGCCTCAGGCCAGGGCAGGGGCAGAGACAGCAGAAGGAAGACCAGGGATCCACCCTGGGAAATAGGCCCGTCTGACACTGCCTCACCCTCTCAGCTCTGGAGTCCGGGGCTCGGGTTGGGCGTGGGGGTCCGCACTGCCTGGAGGGCTAGCCGGGGCTGCCCGGCTCCCGGCGGTTCCCTGGCTGGGGCGCAACAAGCCAACCCCAAAAAACCCCTCCCCCCGCCCAGCCGGCCCAAGTTCCCCCGCCCCGAACCCCGCAAAAGGGCCCGGGAACCCAACCCGCAACCCCGCCCCAGCAAAAACAACCCCCCCCCAAACAACCCGGTTCCAAGCCGGGCCCGGGGCCGAAGGGCCGGAGGCCCCGGCTCTCACATCTGGGTTTGGGGAGACACAGCCCGACCCCAGCACCAGGGGACAGAGCTGGCACCACCAGGCTGTGTCTGGCGGTGGCTCCAGGCCAGTCTGCCACCACCCGAGGGGCCACCCTGCTCTGTGGGGCCGCGTGCTGCTGCCGGGGTCTGTCCACACAGCTCCGTCTGTCTCAGGGGAGGCGGCAGATCCCCGGCAAGAGCTGGAGGCCTGCCTGCAGCCTCTGCAACAGCAACCGGCTCCCGGGAAAGCCTGCACCAGACGCCCAGCTGGAGATGCCATCTCCAGATCCCGGCCCGGCTCGATTTCCAGAGGACAGCAGGAAAACAAGGTGGGGGAGGGAGCGAGGCTGAGACCGGGAGGTCGGAGGAGGCCAGCGGGGGTCTCTGGCCTGACCCTGCTGAGGGGCTCCTGCAGAGCCACCGACTGGGGGCCTCCAGGAGGAGGGGCTACGTCTGCAAATCACGCCCGCGATGACAGGAGGCGCCACCCGAAAATCAGCACCTTTGGCTTCCAGGGGAAACTGAGCGGAGGCCGGGACAGGCAGGAGGGTGATTTACAGCCCACGCTCCCCGGGCCTTGGCGGCTGCAGAGTCCAGGAAGGGAGGGGTGTGAGGGGAGGCCGGGCAGGGAGCCAGCTCTCCCCCGCCGGTCCGTGGGAAGGCCCGGGCTGGAGGCAGGAAAGAAACAGGCTACGGCTGGCGGGCCGCCTTTCCACAGAGGGTCTTCAGAGGCTCTCGTCTTTCACGATGAAGCGGGACATGCAGGTGAAGCCGGGACGGAGACCCTCAAAGTGGCGGGGAGAAGGCAGACGCCGGACACAGAGAGCTGATGGGATTTTTAGCAACTGAAAGGAAAAGCGACGTTTGTCTCATAGATTTTTATTTTCTTTCGAAAGAAAACGAACCTGCTTTGGAAACAGCCCAGCTGCCACCACCTGTTTGCTAGACGCCACTGAGGGGCGGGCGCTTTCGTGCGAACCTGTGTGCCCGCCGCTCAGCCTGCGGAGACGGCACCCTTGCGCCCACCCCGCGGGCGGGAGCTGCAGTGAGAGGGTCCCGAGTCGTGGACTAGCAGACGGGGACGGGGATTCGGCCTCAGCTCTCCAGGTCTGCGCTGTTGCCCTTCCACTGCCCGCAACAGGCGTCGGACAACCCGAGGGAAAGGCGCGCCCGCAGCTCTGAAATGGAACTGTCTAGGATGAACGGTTCCAGACGGGGACGCCTGTGCGTCGAGGGCGCTTCGGGCTCCTTGCTCTCACCGACGCAGCGAGTCAGGATGGAATGAAACTCCACGTCGTGTCGCAGCTGGGAATGTGCTGAGCGGCAGAGGGTCCCCGGCAGCTGCCAGGGGAGGGCCAGCGGGGGTGACTTAACGGCCAGACCTCCAGGACAGGACGAGCGCGCCCTCTCTCGGGCTGTGTCCGTGGGGTGCAAGAGCCCTCGGTCGCCCCAAGTCTCCTCTGAAACAGCGGAGAGAAGACGGGGGTGCCCCCGCCGTTCACACCTCC